TTTCATTGTGCAGGGTTTGACTGCACTATTCTTCCAAGCATAGATTTTTTGTAATTCTAAAATTAAATACAATTGGGTTATAGAGTTTCATACTTCCTGCAATATGCTATTTGTTGTGTAAAAAAAATAAATATTGAATTAGTACATGCATTAAATTTTTTGAAGGTTTTTAAAGTATGCATATGCAACACTGAGTTTCTATTTTTGTGCCAATTTCAAGTGATACCCCACAATTTGTCCATCCTGCAAATTGACAGTGGTTGCCAGGAACTGTAGGAAGTCAACTCAAAATTTGACCTCTGTCCAACAATTCAAACTGCAGAGAGAAGCAAAATGTCAAATTTTGATGTGGAAAACATTTTATTTGATGTTGTCTTGCAATTTGACTGCTTCACAATGCAACCCTAGCCAAGCAGTGGAATATAGGGTCAAATTGCTGGGTACAAAATGTATTATGAATGAATGACCAGAACACTTTATTTGCCGCTTTTCAGCGTTCACAAGGCACAACCAAGACTCCTGCATCCAAAATGCATTAAAATTGTCCATGGCCCCTGCACGCATGATCAAAGCAAAAATGTGTTACACTGACATTATTGAGAAAAATTAGTTTGTTGTAATGATATTTTAATGACATTATCCCCATGCAAAGAAAAACTGCTTAAGACCCAGATACAGTTTATATATATGTATATAGCAAAAATCAAAGAATTTTGAAATAATCCAGGCAAGGACTAAATAAAATTATTTGATACAGGGAGGCTTTTGACTCACAGGAGGTTCAAGTGATCCAATAAATCCAACTTTTAATTGGTTTGTTTGCTCATTTAAATAATGCAAAACTTATTTTACTTCATTTTCCAGCAGCAGCATGTTTTCCTAGCTTCTCCCGCCATTTTCTTCAACAACAGCATGTCAACAGTCCTCATGACATCATCAACAACAACAACAGCAGCAACATCAACCATGATCCCTTTGATGGATTCCAGTCCCAACGGCAACACTGACAGTGAGCATCATCAGCAGCCCACAGTGGCGTCCACCACAGTGTTCCTGGTGTCCTCGGGCGCCACTCTGGTCATTTCCGGCGCCGTGTTCCTTCTCCTCGCCCACCTGCTCGTCTTCCACGTGCACATGATGCGACTGGGCATCACGACTTACGAGTACCTGAGGGGTTATCACGAGAACCCCGCCTTGAGGGAAGCAGCGTGGGCCTCGGAGAAGGCAGCGGAAGAGGCGGAGCGGCGGCAACGGCTGGCCGCCGCCGCCGCCACCGCCGCCACCCCTGCTACTGATGCCGCCTCGAATTGCTGCTGCTCATCCAGTCTCATCCTCCTGCTCAGGTTAATAAAAATGCGCATTTAAAAGTACTGCATATGTCAGGATGTCTGCATATTGGGGTCTCAGTGGATATATTCCAGCACTCAAAAACACATACAGTACTGTACAGTGAGACCCTGTTCATGCGGACACTTTGACCTGCTGACAACTCAACATAGGGACACTTATTTTATAATAAAAATTAATAAAAAAGGCACAACATGAGGACACTGATTGAACATAGGGACATTTTGTGATAAAATTGCAAATACATTTCAGGTCAAATTACAAGAAACAGGTACTTCCAAACCTCAAATTGGCATGAAAAAAGTTCTTGGGTATTTCTCTTACCAATTTACGATCCATTTAGCTAATTTTAAAAATTACCTCCAGCAGATATAGGGACTTCCTTCTCTCTTTTTCACTTGAATGTTATTTTTACAGAGAATGGCAACATTTCTATTTACTCTACAGAGGTATCAGAATTCAATTCCTCAAATTTCCATAGTGTGTTGAAATATATTGATCAGAATCAGTTTCAATTGGGTGACAATTTTTATTTTCATAGAATTATGGTGAGTATTTTGTACATAAAACACCTATTAGAAATTATACCGCATTTACTCAAGTAACACACGCCCTCAAGTAAGGCGTGCAGAGGGGTTTCTTAGTTCAAAATTTTGCTAAAATCTTATCCCCAAGTAAAACACACACCCCAATTTTTAGTGAATCTGAAACTACAAAATTTTGCAAATAAACACAAAAAAATTGACTTTAGGCATGAATTGAACAAAAATCTCATCAATTTTCAACTTTTGGAGTACAAAAACATTTTCTTGTGACATTTGCTCAAAATTTCTCCATTATTGTAATCAAGTATAATACACACATAACTTCCTAAAACTTCTTGAAAATTTTGTACCTGCATATGAAGTGCACCCCTTTTTTTCCTTCTGAAATTCAGGAAAAAAGGTGCGCATGGTGCACAAGTAAATATGATATAATGTAAGTCTATGGGAAAATGAGACTCAACTTAGGGACATTTTGACTTACGGACACTCTTACGTCCGCATCTCAGGGTATCACTGTATTTTCAAATTTTCATTTCCATGTTGTATTCTAAGTAGAAGGAAATGTAATTTTTCCTGATGTATGATGATACTGATGATATTTTTTATACTTGAAAAAAATAACATTTTTTTCAACTGTTACTCAAGTGTTGAAACACCCTTGATTGCAAATTCATCATTGAAAATATTTTTGCACACACTTGTCTTATTTAAGCTGTGCAAAATATCCTACAAAATAATTCTTTCAAATTTGAAATATGCATAAAAATATAAACCTAATTGTTGTGCCATATTTTTTGATTTCAGAAACATATAAAATGTTTAATTTTTCATACTTGTATTGGGGAGTTTTCTTCCATTCCAGAGTAATTTGATGCTTTTTTCTTGCTGAACAAAAAATTCAATGATTTTTTTTACTTCATGAAATGTTTAGAAATGCTTTTCATAGATGAGCTTTGCTTATGTAGGTGGTACCTTACAATGTAATCCTAATCTGTTTCTGGCCTAGGATCAAATTAAAAAGCTGTCATATTGTGAGACACTTCATTAAATTAAGAAATATGAGCACAAAAATGCAACAACAAAAATTGGCAGAAGCAGGTTGGATTCTGGGGCAGAGGTTGAAATGCAAGTCAACATCATCCCCGCAAATTTGACCATCAAATTGTGGGATGGTCAAATTGTGAGGTACTACCTGTAGTAAAGTATTTATCTAATGGACTTTTCTATGGGGGTCCACCAGCTTATCCATTATCAGCCAATTCATGCAGCTTTAAAATTCTCAGAATATTTGCATTCAGAACGCTTTGGTTAATTCTCATTCCAATAATTGCAAGAATAATATCCGAATATAAGTTTGGAAATGGTGCACACTGGGGATTTGTTTGTAATTCTACACAGTGACCCTGCTGTGCACCTGAAGTGTACCAAAGTTCTTCTGTTGCACATGCATATCCCCAATGTGCATCAATTGTGTGTTCACACCAGGATTACTCACAGTCACATTTGTAAACAAATAAGTTACACCACAGTCACAGTTGGTGCATTTTTGTGATGCTCCTGTTATTTCACATTTGTGCAGCAAGTGTAGCCCTGGAATGGTAGCAAAATTTCCTCCACAGGAGTGCACACTTGTAACCCCACAATATCCCATATGCACCACTTGTGACCCTGGTGTGCACCTACTGTGGGGTCACAGCAAAAATAGCTCCCCACTTGGGATAAGGTGCCATTTACTGCATTGCCAAAAGGAAAAGATTTGACTCTTTTTTTGTTATTGTTCATCAGTTGCAGGTGCTGCAAGTCTGCCGGCGACTCCGACATTGAAGGCGGCGGCAGCAGCAGGGACGCCCCTTCTTCAAAGAAGCAATATTGTTCCCCTCAGCATCACTCATCCTCATCAGGACACCAGAAATCTGGAAATAACAGTCATAATCCCTTTCCTGCTGATGAAATAACAGCACACACCTCATCCTCATTCATGCAACAGCAATTAGAAGATGATGATGAACAACAACAGCAAAATGTAGTGTTTGTGTCATCATCATCATCATTATCACAAACAACAGGCGTCAACAACCCTTGGCCTGGCCGCACTAATAATAATAATAATAATAACAACAACAACAACAACAACAATAAAGAAGGCGTCCCTTCAAGACTGGCTCCCATAACAAAACCCATCCTGGATGGAAACAACAAGGTTCACCCGTCAATAATCGACGCCCCCGAAGCCGCCTCTTTGTCGACGAAAAACGGCGCCCCCAGCAGCTGCAGCAGCAGCAGCTCCTCATCAGTGCCCAGTTTACCAAGACTTCAGCAAGAATCCCGCAATAAAAATCACAATAACAAACAAAACAATGAAATTACCCATGATGAGCAGGAGACAAACAACAACAAGAAGAGGAAACTGATGAGGAAAAAAGAATCGTCATCGGGATCGAATCATCATCATCAAAATTGGCTCGATTGGCCACTCGACGACCGATCGACACTTGCTACAGCTGGAATGCAAAACAAAGTCGACGACGACGACGACGACAGCAAAAATGACGATAATATCAAGGACAGAGTCCGTCCTTTTTGGGCCAGCAATAATAAACTGGAACAAGTGGAGGAATTGAGAGAAGAAGAAGAAGACGAAGATGATGATGATGATGATAGTAATAGTTTGCGACGAAAAAGAGTCATGTGTCGTCAGATTGGGACAGTGTTCAAGGATGACGAGCCTACTGCTGCTGATGTCGACGACGATGTCGAGGATGACACGCCTGACAGCAGCCACGACGACGCCTTCTTCCATCGACGTCGATTCTGGCTCGTCTAAATTTAATTTTATTCATTGTGAATTTTCTATATAGAAAGAAGAAAAAAAGGGTCTCTTCAAATCTGTTCTGTTGCGCATGTCCTCAATATTGTCCCATCATTGTAAGTCAGTCACAAAATAAAAATAAAGGAGAAAAAAACACACTCTTGAATACAGTATGGGGTTTTGGTTAACAAACTTTGCATTTTGAAATCAGCTGCCTTGGATAATGAACCATGACTTGATTTACAAGCTGTTGTGGGGTCTTGCAAAATGCCAAAGTCTGTAAAATTGGCACCACTATGTGGCTATATTTCTTGCTTGCTCTTCTACAGGATTGAGGTTGGAATATAACAATAAGTAAAATTATTCTTGAATTATTTTGACCACTGTATTACTACAACGGTTGTGTTATATTTTTGCAAATTTACATCTTGTAATAGTTCCCTCAATCTACATTTGTTTCATAAGTTCTCCTAAATTTAACTTTTTATGCTTTCCTTCATGTTTTGTATTTGGTTTATAAACACACAAGTTGCTCAGAAATTCAGTGTGAATATAAAAATACAGTGCCCCCCGCCTAACAGACCTCTGGTGTAAGGGATTTTTGCTGAACAGACCAGCTCTGCAAGCAGTTTTTCCACCTGCCCAACAGACAAAATCTGCCAAACAGACTTCTTTTGGTTTAAAATTATTGTTGAAAATTGAAATTTTTAATTTTTATTCAATTGAATTTGTGTGAAGGACTTTTTGTCTAACAGACTTGTCCCTTGCACGAATCAAGTCCATTAGACGGGGGTTGACTGTATACTGAATGAATTTTTTGTATGTAGAAAGTGTTGACCCCAGCCTTATTAGTTGGCTCTTGTTGTCTTTAGCAACACTTCTTGGAGCTTATTCTCTTATAAATTTTATATAACATACAAGTTTTGGCATTTAAGGCCCAAGAAAAATTGTGAGTAAAGCTTTTGATTTTCATGGAAACATGTGAGGTCCTGGGACCAATTAGAAATATTCCTTGCCTCTAACTATTTTGTAGACAAAACTTCACCTAACAGCTGGTAGATAAGTTTATAAACCTCACCTAGGAACTGATGGAAAAGTTTATAAACCAAGACCCTGCTGTACTCAAAAATACAATTCTCAAAATATGGCAATTGTTGAGACCAATTTGAAATTGCAGTCCACCCTTGTCAAACAGACTTAAATTTTGAAACAGACAGGTCTATTGGGCATAAAGTCCTTCAGACAAATTCAATTATATAAAACAGTTGAACTTTCAATTGTCAACACTAATTTTAAACCAAGAGAAGTACAGTATGTTTTACATCAGATTTTGTCTGCTGGTTGGGAGGAAAACCTGCCTATACAGAGCTGGTTTGTTGGGCAAAAATTCCTCATGATGGAGATCTGTTAAGTAATTGAATCGGATTGCATTAAATTCAGCTTGATTCCCTATTCTACTTGACTCATAAATTATCTTTCTTTAAAAGAAAGTTATTCTGCCTCAGATGTTTGTTTTTCTCTTGTGCATGTCTGTCTACTCTACTTATAATTTTGAATGCTTTTTAAAGAAGAAATTTATTCTGCCACAGATGTTCCTTTTTCTTTTGAGTATGTCTGTCAATCTCTGTAGTATCTGAATATATACATGAACCAAGAAACACGTGGTCCAGAAGATTCTGCATATCTTTTGCGGAAATTTTTATCAAGAAAGTAATGGGACCTTTGAAGTGCTATTTTTCTGACTTTTTATGCGGCAACCATCATCAGTGACCTTTTCTTATGTTATGTACCGTGACTATACACACTTTTTTTTTAAATCTGCGGATGGGAAACTGAAATACAATATGCTTTTGTGAACCAAAATCCACGTGATTTTAATTTTTGCTGAACTTGGCACACGCATGATGGAGGCAGAGATTTCCTGTTACGTTTAGATGTGTTGAGCTGGTGACTATACTGTACAGGGGTAATCACAGCAATATTCTCATTTCAGTACAGTATATATTGTAAATGTTGATTGTCCTGGCTGCTGCAGAACTGCACAGCGCAAAACCACATACGTGAGTACGTGACCCACCTTGTCTTCCGAGTAGAATGACCAGTGTTCATGAGGAACAGCGACATCTAGACATTCTCAATGCAATCAATCCGCAGACTCTACCAGCCCTCCGGCAGATATCCTCATTGACACGCGGACTATGGAGAAACCATAGGTCACTGAAAGAAGTTGACCAGCAGGATGCTCACATCATGGTTAACCCTGTCATTGATGTCATCTCCTATGGGTACTTGTGATGCATGTAACAGTGACACATAATCCAACATGATTTTTGGGAGATTCTGTGCCTTATTTCCCGACGATTCAAGATCAGTACTGTATGAAAAACACCAATTCGTTATAGAGAAATTGACTTCTCCATTACCATACGGCATCCAGCACCAAGTTTTTCTTTAAATATTGTGATAAATAATTGTTTGGGAATTGTGGAACGGATCAAATGTAAATAACATATGGCGTACAAGATTATGTTCGAAAACATTGTACAATGGTAGGATGTGTATGTGAGTGAAACGTACAATAAAGGCTTCGGCAACAGAATATTCTTCTTCTGCATGCGCATATGTAGTGCACTGGGGGTATCGGTATGCTTTTACCTTTGAATAGTTGACTTGACAATAATAACATGTGGAATTTCCGTAGTTGGCTTTGCCATATGGTGTTGAAAAGTTAAATCCTGCGCAGACAAAGGACGCGTTTTTTTGTTGTTTGGAACGGAATAATTGGGGGAAATGCACCGAAGTAAAACCCTAATTCACTCGCTTGTAAAATACGCGACCTCGAGAAATAAAAAAAATTCATCCAGCATCTTTATTTTCCAGTTTCGCATCATGGGTAATATGTGACTCACCTTGCTTATTATCATACCATTTATAAAGAACTGAAATACAGTATACTACAGTATATACAGTAAAAAAATTCGTGAGTCATTGAGTGGCATGATGGACATGTCTGCTGCATGTGCTGAGACTGCTGACTAATGAATTCAAGCCATCGCAGCATTATACAGACATGCATGTGTTTTCGCCTAATGTTGATGATGTATATTTGATTTACGGCATATTGGTAGATTTGCTTGAGGCGGAAAATGTCAATAAGTCAAAGGTCATAAAATAGCGTGCAGTGATATAAANATTAGGTTAGATTAGGTTAGATGAGGTTAGATGAGGTTAGATGAGGTTAGGTTAGATTAGGTTAGATTAGGTTAGGTTAGATTAGGTTAGGTTAGATTAGGTTACATTAGGTTACATTAGGTTAGATTAGATTAGGTTAGATTAGGTTAGATTAGGTTAGGTTAGATTAGGTTAGATTAGATTAGGTTATATTAGATTAGGTTATATTAGATTAGGTTATATTAGATTAGGTTATATTAGGTTAGATTAGATTAGGTTACTCTAATGCTTTAAATATTTTAGGGCTTATATATATTTTAAATATGTATATTCTAATGCAAGCAAAACCGAGCAAGTCACCCAAGGAAAGACTGGTTGCCACCGAAGGAAAGACCGGGAGGCGGACGCAGTGAACAGGCGGACATGCGGGCATGTTATACGGGGGCAGGTTATATACAGTATAGGGTGCCCATTATACCCAACCATGGGGTTCTGTATATCACAGTATGTTATTGTATTAACAGGGCAGGAAGACCGTTTAACTAGACACATTTTAGTCGCAAGTGTGCAAGGTGCATTAGGGAAATGATGAACGAGAGCTGATTTCTGAGAGACATTGGTGATGAGGTTCCATTCTCCCCCGGTGTCTAAAATTTTTTTTTACTTGTTTCCATATAGTTCGTTCTTACATATACGCGGCAGTGAAACTAGCGGAATCTGCGTGGCGGCTGCTGACGCTTACGTTCATGCTGCTGGTGTATCTTTGATGCAAGTGGCGGGTCTCAGGAGTGGATGATGTGTCAGAGCTGGACCTCATCGGTGCTGGGCTGGTGGTGATACGTGGCATAATTCCGCTGAAGCCCACCGACTTATTGTAGGACCCGACCAAGGACTTCGTGTGTCCAAACCGGTTGGCTAAGATCCCGTTTATCTTCATCGATGACAAGCAATCACCTTACTGTGACTGCGCCAACGCGGAAGCAACAAGCCCATCACCACGGCCAAGTCCCGACACCACCTTCTTTTGTCCCGATCCGGTCACGTCTCGCAGGTCATCCCTTTGTCCAAATGAGGTTTTTTTATTCCTTTCTATATCCTCTTGTATAAGTGTGATGAATGTTCAGTACATACTAGCTGTGCCTGATGATATTATTGTGAGTTCGAGTCGCCGCGGAAAATTAAACTAAAGACCATGTCGGATGAGAGAAGTATTGTTACAGAACTTTGGGCTCTTGCTTCCATGGGTAATAAATATGAAACAGAAATTTGGAAGAACATGACGTGTGCTACCGGAGGTTGTTGGTGTGTTATCGTGATCTTTAAGAAAGCTCATTCGATTTGGTCATTGAATTTTTTTTTGTTTCTTGTACAGTGCAGTATATAGTAGTCGTGTATTCTGTTGGTGTTTGACTGGAAAATCATGTTTGAAGACAAGCTTGGGCAGTGGAATGGATTCAACGAGTCTGCACCTGAATTGCGGCAATCAAGAACAGGATCTTGTCAGCATTGGAGCCAAGTGATGGATGCATGTACTGTATACCACTTTGACAACGAGACGTCGGCGATGTATACCTTCATCCGCCAGCCTTGCCTTTGCACTGAAGAAGACGTCATCTATTCAGCATCAGCGAATGCTCATGATTCCTCATCATCCTCCTTTGTGGTAATTTTGTCATGGATGCTTATCCTGATTATCTGCTGGAGCATAATTCATTTTTCTTTGTCTGAGTTCTATCCGAAATGAGTGTATAGAGCTATAGCTGGCAGATATATGTTGTGTGTGATCATTTGGTTCCATAAAAAATTAGGTCATTTGATATTGTCTTGCTTTTGCAAATGAAAAT